AAAAAGTAAAGCATCACATTAGTTCCTTTAGGTTGTGTCAATTTTTAGAGACTTCGGGAAGGGGTGGGGGGAGGTGGGAGGGGGAGGGGGAGGGAGAGGGGTGAGGAGAGTTGCATAAAAAATATTTTCCTAAAAAAAACATTTTCTACTCTCTAACCAAACATAGAAAATATTTTCCGGAAAATGTTTTCCACTTACCAACCAAACAAAAGAAAATAAGTGATAAAACCGCTCATTTTCCATGAAAACATTTTCTAGGAAAATATTTTCTATGGAAAACATTTTCCTTCATACCAAACACACCCTAAGTTTGCTAGAATGTATGTAGTCCACCAAAAAAAAAATCTAATTTCTAACCTGAGAACATTTCTTCTCAAGAGCTAAGACACAGGTTTAACTAACCAAACATTCTTGAAAAGAAATGAATCATTTTCTAGAAGTTACGTAGTAGATATCTAGTCTAGACAAATATTGCAGAGTACTTCACTGATTACGTATAATGCTTTTCTAGATGGGAAGACCAACCAAATATTTTATATGACGTGACTTGATCCCTCTGTCTTTACACTTTATAATTTCTTCTCTTTGTGGTAAACGTGGGACAAAAGTTTATCAAATGGTCTAATTTTGAATTTCTACAGTTCTCTAGTACTTCCTCCGTTTCATATTAGATGAGGTAGTTTGACTTGGCACGGAGTTTAAAAAGAAAGAAGAAGACTTTTGAAACTTGTTGTCTTAAAAGCTTAAGGGGTAAAAGGTTTGTGGGGCCATGCATTTGTGTGGCTATAAAAGCTTCTCATTAAGGGTAAATGGGTAAAATGAAGAGTTTAAAGTTTGAATTATTTCCAAATTTAGATTTGTTTTGGAACAGACTAAAAAGGAAAGTACCTCATCTAATATGAAACGGAGGGATTAGTAGTTTTTAAACAAAAAGTCATCAAGGTGTGCTTGTAAAATTACTTTTGCTTTTTTAAAAGTTATGCTCCTTTATAATACACGTAAAGATGGCTTTGGAAGATTTTAATTTATGCTTTTTCCCCGTAAAGATCCTTTTGGTAATTTTTAAAATATGGTTTTTTTTTTATTTCTTTCTATTACATAAGGAGCACGTATAAGTAGAGGGGAAGGAAAGAGAACACCAATTCAATTGAAAGAAAAACGATACTATTAGATTATCTCTTCTTTTCATAATAAAAATATTGGAGAATTACCTCTTTTATCTTTTCTTTTTTCCTCTAATATGGTCGTTACCTACCGGAGTCCAGGGTCAACTTTGGATAATTTACATAGTCAATGACCAGATCTTGAATCTCTATCCTTTCTTTATTTTAACACAACCATCGTGTGTATTTTGATTGCTGACCACTAGGCAAAGTGCTCTAAGCAAATTTTATCTTCTTCTCCACTATACATCATCTATAATCTATAATCTATAATCTATATCTATAATATATTAAAAACAGGAAGCTCTTAAGTTAAAAGTCAAATTACTAAATTAACCTTATCATATTAAATTTATCTTTTAAAATAACCCTAAAAATATCAGCTACACGCGACTACTGAAGCGTCCCCTACTTCCTTGCGCTCCTTGTCGACAGACGCAAAGAGAACTTCATTCTAAAATCATCTCCCCAACAGTTGCATCGTTTAATTTTCTTTCTCTTTAAAAATTAGAGCATCATGGCAATTTTCCATCAATCTTCTTCTTATAGTTTTCCCCAAATCTACTTGCTCGATCAGAAATGACGCAGTGCCACACATGTATCTCCTAATGAGCAACCAGCAGGTTCATTATTTTTTATTTTATTACATTATTTGTCTTCTTTTGGATATTGGATGGTACAAGTTATTAGGAGAATTGCATAAAAGTTAGAAATCTGGTCATCCGAACCAAACAAACATTAAGGTAAGGTATTTATTTTTAATTATTTTTCATTGGACATTCTCACAATGATAAATCATGATTGAAAAAGGAAGGACTTTGGCGCCGGGTGGTTAAAGGTCTATCTATATCCCTTCAAGTAATTGTTTATTTTAATTTTCTAGGATGTTCTCTTCTGACAAGTTTTGTGTAACAATTTGTGTGTTTGGTTACTCAATGATACAAATTCGTTGATTATTTTTGTTGATTTGGAATAATCATGGACGAATCAATTAACATGATTGTTATTGAATTTTTGGCTTGAGTATTTAGCCAATTGAAGTACATTCTTCACTTATTGTCATAATGAACTGATTTGGTAATTTGCTTGCATTTTATAAACAAAATGGATCAATCGAATTTTGGTTTGGTTGTCGAACAACCGAAATCCGAAGGTTACAAAGTAGAGGTTTGGTCCTTGACATTAGTTTCTAGAATTATTTTGTTTCTGTGGTGGTTGTTGTTATAGTATCATTATTACTTTTACTATGATGATGATTATCGCAATAGACATTTAGTCATTCAAAATATACTGACTTCACATGCATATATCTTATTTTAATTTGTCACCATATGGTAGTGGGAGGTTTTATTTGATATAGAGTATTTTGGCGTAAGTTAATCGCATGTTTACAAAGTATGGAGTTTGTCTGGAACGAACATTTAAATGCAAGACCCAGGTATGTTTTGATTTCCTTCTCTCCTCTTCTCCCCTTCTCTTTTGCAATTTTAAGTTTAATATTTGTTCGAAAAGAACTTTCATTTGAAAATTGTTATTATTTTCCTTAGAGCTTTAATATTGATTCAATGTAAAATTATCTTCCACTCTTCTAACAGATTATCTCGACGACTCGCTCACACAATTGGTAATGCTTATGTGTTTTACTAATTACTCAAATTAATTTCAAACAAGAATATTACTCATAATAGAAAGTACATAATCTATCTTACTTTATTTACTAAGTATTATACTTAGAATGTTACTATTGTTACAAGAGTATAATTTGTTCAGTATCTGCCATAAGATTTTAACTAATAATGATTTATCCCAAGTTACATAATTCTTTGTTTGTCACTGTTGGAGGCTTGGAGCTATTGGATTATATTTCGTCTCGTAGATTCATGTTATCGATGCTTTTCCCTAGAACTGGACATTCGTCTTTGGTGTTAGGTTCTTGTGTTGCATTGACCTATCTAAAGATAATGAGCCTGATATTTGGAAATTCATCAAGTTTCGGCGGTGCTATTTGTATATCATCATCCTTTACAATTTTAAATTTAAGAAAATGACTTTTTTAAATCTCTTATGTGTAAAAGATATATCTCTTATGTGTAAAAGCAAATTTCTCATGTGTAAAAAAAGAGGTTGGGTCATAAAACTAAAAACAAGTTTGTAAAGAGCCAAAAAACCAATTACCCCGAGTTTGGCATAGGAGGAACCGCGTTTATCTGACGTCGACAAATAAGTTACTATACAATAAATCATATTGATAATGCACAAAATTATTTTTCACGTATAATTATTGAATCAATTTTTTTAATAATATTGATTTTATTTTCAAATACGTACAATATGACCTGTCATAATATTGATTTTATTTTCAAATTTGTATGCCATATGGCTTGGCATACACGTGCAACGCACGTGGGGAGAAACTAGTTACATATAAGGTTCTATGTTAATCGCAAATGGGACTTTGGAATTTGTTAGTCAAACTTTTTAACTGTAAATTCGAAAATACAATTTTTAAGTTATTCGAAATAAAATTTAAATATTTTGAAATAAGTCTTTACATGAAATTATTCATAATGAGTAGTCTTGTGTTCGACGGTTCATTATATTCTTGGTCATAGAAAACCAACACTATGGCCTCTCTGTGGCAAACCCCACATATGATAGTACGTTTGATTTGTGTTCTTGAGAAAAATGGAAAATAGAATGTGCAAATTACAATTTATAAATGTACACGCGAATTAGATCTTAACCAATCTTTTTTACAGATTAATACATGATCGATTAAAGCGGTTGTAAACAATTCAGGAAGAAAATAATAAGAAAGACGAGTATATAATGTGAAAATAAAACTCGACTAGATAGATAGATTACGGAGACAATCTAACACGTCTAAATTATGGTCGAGGTGTCAACAAACTATAACTCCTAGTACAACTTAACATCGACCGTGCAATTGATTCAGAGTGCCAAGAAATTCTCCATGTATTCTGTCTTAATATGTTGAGAAAATTCCGTTGAAATTCTTGATTCAAATGCATTAATCATCCCACTTGAAAGCGGAATTCGAATTGTTGGAATTAGTATAACTATCTGAGCTCAAACTTGGAGGACGTAGTAGTAATCTATCTACTGAAGCAGAGGCTGTGACAACTTCAGACGGAAAATTGAGGAGTGCCTTAGCACCACGCATTCTAAAAGCTGCTCTATCATAAGCTAACGCAGCTTCTTCTGCTGTTTCAAACGTACCTAGCCATACTCTAGCACCATGTCTAGCCGAATCACGAATTTCGGCAGCGTATTTTCCCCATGGTCTCCGTCTTACGCCTCTGTACTTCTTTCCTATGATCTGTGATGGACGAAGGACATTTTTGGGAAGAAGTTGGTTTCTTTGGGGTAAATATGGGACGTTAAGAGCATTAGCTTCATTGAGGACTTCGTATAGTACCATCTCTTGTGAGTCATTCTCATTAAGAGGTAGATCACTTTGGGGAGTTGGAACCATAGCTAAGAGGGATATAATTAAGGTTATGGCTTTTGAAAAATGTTTCTGAAGTTTGGATTATGAGGTTGAGATCAGGTATTTAACTTGAGGAATACTAGAAAAGTTGTGGGGCCGGTCTGTTGAATTTTCTTTCGGGGAGAAAGAGGAAGATACGAGGAAACAAGAGAAAAATTGTGCATGTCTTTTTCAATAGTTGGTGCGCTCGTGGGATTGTGGACACTGTTTACCCCCTTGTTTTCCTTGATATTACAAGTCTAGATAATTATTGGCATCTACAATGATATATGATTGAGCAAGAGGAGTTATCAGGCTATAATTTTCCACAGAATTGATGCCTCTTTTTCGAAGAAGCGCACTTGACCTGTCAAGACTATACTTTTTTTCGAGGTTGAGAGGGAAAAAAATTGTCTTATATAAACACATTTTATACATTTATTGGTTTAATGTGCGTGCACATGGTATGAGTAAGCTTTTTTTCTGTCAATCTTCATTAAGAATAGAAAGATGTTTAGTTGAACACTTCATAATTTCTACAAAGTGATCATTTAATAAAATAAGAAAAGAAATCAAATAACATAGAATATTAGCACGGGCTTGCCAGCTTTCGGACTGGTCATTCAAAAATAGCCAGCGTTCGCAAAGTCATTAAAAAATAGCCATTTTTTTGTTGCAAGAGGGACCGGTCCAGCATAATATACTGGAGATCGGTGCACCTGTGTATGAACTTCCAGCATATTATGCTGGAACTCCAACACGCGGAAAGTTCCAGCATAATATACTAGAGATTGGAGCACCTGTGTATGAACTTCTAACATATTATATTGTACCGGTATATTATACTGGAACTCCAGTATATTATGCTGGACTTCCTGTATATTTATGTTGGAACTCCATTATAATGTGCTGGAGTTCCAGTATACTTATGCTGGAACTCCAGTATATTATGTTGGAGTATTTTCCAGCTCTGTTTTAAAAGGCAGAATTGGCACTCGCCCCGGGGCGGAGCACTCTTAAAACGCCCCTGGGCTAATGTATTGGGCTTAGTTCCGTGAGACTTACGCCTCGGCCATCGGGGCATACGCCCCTGAACACGCTCAATGCCCAGCTTACTGGGCTCGCCTGCAATTGCATGTAACTAACCTTGTAAATCCTCAAATTTTATTAATAAATCGTTGACTATCCAAAATTACTTTTTTCTTAATCATAAATCATTAATCTTATGTCATAATTAAAATAAAATTATTGCACGTTATCCACTAAGACTGCTATGATAGTTAATTTTAAATAAATCTTTCATTTAAAAATTATTTATTTATTAACTTTTGTCATGTCTTTACTATGTAATAGTCCATAATTTTTTTATAATTACTTTTCTAATTTTTTTTCTTCATATTTACGAGATACAATACTTATTAATTTAATAGTTCAGTATTAGCTAGTAACTATTTACAAATAATTAGTTATCATGATATTGTATGGTGAATTATGTGTCACTTTATTAACTTGAGAAACTTAAAAATAAATGATGCTAGAGAATCATATTTAAATTGTGAATTATGTTTTTATATAAATTCTCTTTCAAATAGAACGCATATTAAATAAAAGGAGTATTTTAAGAAAAATATCAAATTATAATATCGAAATTCTTTCAAGATTCATTACTCCTTAAGAGATACATATAAGATTTCGTATTGAATACATTGCTTTTGATGTTTGAATTGTAACGACGTTGCAACTAATTTGCATATTATGATATTTGCCATACTTTTCTTATTATTCATAGTTGAATTATAATTTATAAATATTTTAAATAGATTATTTGTTATAATTTTGTGATTTTAATGTAATTTTTATAATTATTTTTTATTTTATATTATCTTAAAATTCTTGAAATTAGTAATTTAAAGATCCGCGTGGGACTTACGCCCCATGTCTCAGGGCTTATGCCTCGCCTCGTCAGAGGTAAAACGCCTCGCCTCACACCCGCGCCTTTTAAAACATTGTTTTCCAGATTTTGAACAGTGTTTTCGTTTAAATCTTTAAATAAAAGTGACTAAATTCAATTACTTTTGAAACTGTGGCTATTTTTGAATTTCTCCCGGTACTCTTGATAACAAAGAAGATAATTTTGCAATTTAATGCAAACCGTCAATCTAATCAGGTTGACCAATGTTTGGAGTTCTAGAGATGAGGTAGATGACTCATGTTTGAAGTTCTAGAGACCAAAAATTGATGTGACTTCACTGAGTTCGTAAGGGTTTCCTTGGTCTTTTCAGTGGGCCAATAAAGGATAATCTCCAATCCATTTTGTTTTGGCACTTGACTTTTAATGAAGACTAGTAGAATTTAATAAACAAGGTTCATGAATCATCAACGAGAGAAAAGCAAGGTACCAATTTTGACCACTCCTTGCTTTGCCTTCTTGTCGTATGGACAGGGCTACACATTTGTTCTAAATGTAATGGTAATTATTTATTTGGACGAAGAACATTCTTATTATCACGTGGTTTGAACAATAATTCTAGAAATTGACATTCAAATGACTACTTTTCATTAGTTGGAATGACGTGTATTCGATTTTGACATTTTATGAATGCAATAGCCAACTAATTACGAAAACCCCAAAGGAAAGTCGAATTAGCCCGACTTTATTCAATTCACAATTGCAACTTGCAAGTAGTTGAGACCAATTCGTGAAGTACATATCACCAGGAAATACTATAGTTGGAGTTTTTGTATATAGCAATCTGTTATGGACTCAAAATCAGAAAATGGGCTTGGAGTATCAAGAAGTTAGCCTTGGGCCTGATTATAATCATGGGATCTTTACACAAATAGCCTACCATATTCATTGTTTATTTTTTCTACCCATATACATAGATTATACATTGATTATACACAATTATACATATACTAGTCTTAGGGTACGCGCTTTGCGCGTGTTTTTTTATATCAATAGATATACCGTCTTAAAATTAAAAAAAATTAAATAAAGTGTTTGAGACACAAAGTGACTTCATAAAATTAATAGAATGTATAATTTCACTTTAGTTAGTTCAATAAAAGAAGAAATTATGCATCATAGAAGTCCTTAGAATTATGTGGAACATCTTATAAAAATTGTTATTAGTATTGTATCTAATATCGAAAAAAGAGTAACACAAAAAAAAATACTTTTTGCAAATAACACAAATTTAAAAATATAATCTCTTGGTCCTTTAGAGATTTGTGCATGATACATTTGCCCTATGGCTCTTAGAAAAAAGATACATGTGACTAAAGTCTAAAAATGATTAATATTAAATTAATAGTTTACAGCAAATACTAAATATATTTAAAAAAAAATATAGGGAGTTCAATCTGGGGAATGTTTACAAAATAATAAAGAAAAGTAATTAATGACAAATGATATGGAATATAATTTGTCTTCTACTGTTTCATCTTTATTGTTTGAAGTTTACATTTTTATTGAGTTTTGACTTTTAATATTACACAATACCTGATTTTACTCTATTTCTTATTCTTTCATCATTAATGCACTTCTTTTATATATATATATATATATATATATATATATATATATATATATATATATATATATATAAGTAGTTTTTTCTACTTGGAAAATAATTTTACTTATATGATAATTTTGAGAAAAAGTTGAATTACATTCTTTTGCTACTTAGATAATTTAATTATTTATTTTAAACATTAAAGAAAATATTTTTTTCATTAATTAAAAGCTTAATATTAATTCATCCCATGTTTTAATATTTAGATATAATCACAATTTGGGATAATTTTGAAAACTTTCCTCTGAGATTCTCTACACAAACTTCTATTGCGGTCTGAGAATTACGCTCATCTCTCTTATTTTTATTTTTTTATAACGAAACAAAATGCACATGATAAAATCTAATAACATTTATGTAATGTTCAAATTGCCCTTTATTGGCATTAAATATTTTTAATATTAGAATTTTTTAGTCTTTTTTCTCTCGGCCCACGGTAGGTGTTAGCTAACCTGCGCCCTACCGGAAATGGGAGGAAGAGGACGACCTAGGAAGAACACTAGCAAAACAACAATGGTAGAAAGGAAATTCACTGATCTTAGCATTAGAGAGCAAGAAAAACAATCATCAAAAGCTAAAGAGGAAGTGCAGGAGGAAGAAGAACTAGATCTGGAAAGTGACAACGAGCTGAATTGGCCAGATCTGAGTAGCACTCGGACGAAATTGACAACGCCGGTGAAGTTAGTCGACAATGTGACTCCAGTGATGAACGCTGGAGCTACAGGCACACATGCAGCGAAGATCTTAGCAGGGGATGCGAGTACGAGCAAAATGCCACGCAATGGAACAGTAATTACAGATGCAACAAAGGAACAGAGTAACATGAAAATTGGAAGCGAGAAGAGCATATATGAGGTGAAAACACAGGGTGGTGGGGGAAGATCATGGGATGGGCTGTTTAGCGAGAACAAGCTTGCAGCTAAAGGTATGAACCTATCACATATTTCACCGGTGATACATGATGGTGAGGTAGTTGTTCAATTGTTGGAGGATGACATTGCGGAGGAGCAACAGAAGTGGAATCGAGCTATAATACTGTATGTAGTTGGAAAAATTCCAACAATTGGGGCAATTGAGCGATTCATAGCAAATCAATGGAGCAAAGTCTGGAAACCAAAGGTATTGTTTCATAATGATGGTTACTTCATCATTTTGATGAATAGCAGTTAAGAGAGGGATGAAGTAATAATGAATGGCCCGTACACAATGAACAATAGACCTATAATAATATGACCATAGGAGGGATTTGATTTTGGGGAGGAAATTCTCAGAACCATCCCTCTATGGGTAAAATTCCCAAAACTACCACTTAGCTACTAAAGTAACAAGGCATTAAGTAAAATTGGGAGTGGTTTAGGCAAACCTCTTTATGCTGATGCGTGTACTACCATGGCTGGCAAAGTTTCGTATGCAAGGGTGTTAATCGAAATGGACATTACTAGGCCTCTACCAGGATCAATAAAGCTATATGATCCAAAAGGAATGGTGATTGAACAGATAGTACAGTATGATTGGAGCCTCAATATTGCCAAATGTGTTGTCAACTGGCCATTTATGCAAAGAGCAACAACAGCATAACAATGAAGGGGGGACAACAGAGAAACAATGCCCAAAAACCAAAGCAAGAATGGAGAATAGTAAGGGTACTTGATCCTAAGGTGGACAAAATAGATGCTCATGGAAGGTTCATGGAACAAATGGAGCCAGAAGGAGAAGTTGTGCCAATTCAATAGGAGAATGATAACCAATGGCAGATTGCTAGAGGAAAATCTGCATCAAAAAAATAAATGGGAACCAAAGGGGAAGATAAAGTAGAT